GCCCTGGATGGCATGGGGGAGGAGTGGCTGGGGGGACAATGAGAGCACGGAATGTAAGGATTTTCCTTTCACTCTCAATACCACTCTCTGCTCTGCTTGCTTGTGTGCTGGATCTCTCAGTCAGGATAAATTTGCTTTTCTTTGCTTGGCCAAAAAGAAGACCATCATGAAACTTCTGTTGTTGTTTTTAAACTTAGGAGGCTTTCCTGTTAACATATTTTCCTTTTCATCCAGATGGTAACTAACATTTATCAAGTGCTTTCTCTGGGCCACAGGCACCTTGCAAAGTCCTTACGTGAATTGAATTAACTTCTGAATACTCCTGGCAACCCTACGAGAGAGGCAGTATTAGGGCCCCACTTATACACAGAGGTTAAATCCTTGGTACACAATTGTAAGTGGCATGGCTGGAGTGTGAAACCAGGAGGGCAGGCTGCTGCTTCCCACCCTAGACTTTCGCTAAACAATCGTGAAGCCTTTGCTGGTGGCCTCAGCTCTCAGAGCAGCATCTGATGTAATCCCCGCCAGATATTTCCTGCCTGCATGTTTGCATTCATTCATTCATTCATTCAGCAAGCAAGCATTCACTGAGGGCCTGGTGTTGTCTTGGGGACTCCTTTGGGGGAGAAAGCAGGAAAAATAAAGAACCCAACCCTCCCCCAGCATGGATCACAGGAAAGGTAAGGTCAAAGAGGGGGCTGTGGGAGTTCAGAAGGAACCTTCTCTCTTCCAGGTCTTGGGTATGGAAAGCATGTTGCCTCTTCATCTTGCATGAGAAAAGACGGCCTCCAGAGGAAGGATGGTGGGACAGGGGTCTGGGAGATGCCTTAGCCTGACACCTGTACAGCCAGCCCTCATCCACCGTGCTCCTAGGTATTGGCTCTGCTGATTACTGTTCATTCAGCAGGTACTTATGAGCACCTGCTGTGTGCCAGGCTCCGGTGGGCTCGGTGAGATGCCCGGAGGGGTAGACTATTACCCTTCCTTCAGGGCCTTCCCAGGACCAAGGGGGGGGGGGCAGGACAGATGCTGACCAATCAGCTGTCATATGCAAATTGGCAGCACTAGTACCTGCCCCTCCCACCCCAGCCTCATTTGCTCCTTAAAATCTCCCCCAGAGATTTGAGAGTAGATTCAAAATCAGGGAAGGCTGCTACAGGGGAGTAGCGTTTTAGGCTTTGAGAGAAGCAAGCACCTTCACCCCAGCTGGAGCTGGAGGTGGCCGGGCAGTGGCAGCAGCTTTGCCCCTGGAAGGCCAGCCATGGGAGGCACTGGCAGCTCCCCGCAGCCCAGTTTCTGCCGCTCCCTCTGCAGGGCTGTGCACTTGCTGGTTACTCTGCCTGGGATGCCTTCCCTGGGAAAGCTTTCTCTTTCTCATCCCCCCAGGACTCAGGCCAGTGGCATCTCTTCCAGGAGATCCTGTTGCCACCTCCCGCCATGTCACCTTGTTTATTTCATGCTGTCACTTATCACAGGCTGAAATGGTCTGGCCTGCACACTCTACAGTGGACACCGACGCCAGCCAGCACTCCTCCGCCTGCCTCAGTAGGCCCCCCAGTACACACTGCCTTTCCCTTTGGTCTTTCCCCCTTGACCCTCCTGCATGTCCCGCTCCCCTGGCTCCAGCAGTTAAGCACACCGCACCCTTCCCTGAGAGAATCCATGGACAAGCACAGCCTCCTGTCCTACCCCAAACTGCACTTGAAGTCCCTACTTTGTGTTCCTGGCCTGAAAGCCAGCTCTGTGAGGAGGCCACTGTGTGGGCTCACTCACTGCTGCACCCTGCAGCCCAGCACTGTGCCTGGCACCAGGATGGTCCACATGACTTTCAGGGTCCAGTACAAAATGAAAGCGGGAGCCCTTTGTTCATAGATTATTAAGGCCCGGCCGGGCATGGCCTAGGATCCAGGTGATCAGGGTTCGATTCCCAGTCAGGGCACATGCCTGGGTTGCGGGCTGCAGCCGATCAATGACTCTCTCATCATTGATGTTTCTATCTCTCTCTCTCCCTCTCCTTTCCTCTCTCTGAAATCAATAAAGATATATTTAAAAAAAAAAATTGTGACATGGCAATAGCAGAGCATAAAGTTCAGTGTGGGGCCCTTCTGAGTTTGGGGTCTGGGCACCTACACAGGTTGTACAGTCACAAAGCCCACCATGCTTGTCACCCAGGAAGTACTCAACAAACCTGTGCTGAGGGAAAGAGTGAATGGATGAAGGGCAGGTGGAGGGGCTTTCAGAGTGCCTTGACTGACAGGTGGGCCAAAGCCCAGCCCTGGGCACTGGATTCAGGGTCCCTTCTCAGTCTGGGCAGGCCTATGCAACAGGGCCTGCCTGTGTGATATGAATGGCTAGGACCTGCAGCCTTGAATTCTTGCCTGGCTTCTGGCCTCTCCTGTGTCCATCCATGTGGGCCCTCAGGCTGCCATCTTTTCCAAAAGTCCCAAAGGGATTCCTGGCAGAAGCACCTATGCTCCAGAAAAGCTAGAAGACCAGGTTCCTTTGCACCAGCTCTTGGAGCTTTCTCCTGCCCCAAGGTGAGGCTTAGCCAGACCACCCTCCCAAAGGAAAGCCCATCTTCAAATTCAGCCCTTCGCCTTTCATCCCAGTGCCCCAACCTGACGCTGGTTTGTGGGTTTGTTTCTGTGGGGCAGCCCCAGGAGGGAAGGAGGCATAGAGAAACATCCACCCCATGTGTCTTACTGCCACTCTGGGCAGTTATTTTGATCCTATATTTATAGATGAAGAAGCCAGGACTCCGAAGAGCAGTAATTCACTTAAGGTCCCACAGCAGGTTCCGAGTTGTCTGGGGAGCTTGTACCCATGCCCCGTGTGTACTGGGCTCTGAGTGGGTGGATCTCTGTATTGTTTGTGGGATGAACAAATGAGGGGAGGGAAGAAGGGAGGCGAGGAGCTGCTGTCTGTCCAGTGAGGTCCGAGGTGAACTAGATGCAAACTGGCTGCCAGGCAGAGGCGGATGGGGAAGGTCACAGTGATGGGCTGGGGTACCTGTCTCAGGCTGAGGAGTGGCTGGAAATAAACAGAGCCCAAAGTGGGAGGAGGTGGGAGGAATTCTCCAGCTCACACGATTTCATTTATTCATTTAACAAACAATTGTGCAGCCACAGTGGCTACCAGGCCCTAGGTTCAAGGTACTGTGGGTACAGGGCAACCAAGGAAAGTGCAGCCTGGGCCCCAGAGTGGTTCATTTCCAGTGGGGGAGACAAGACAAAGAAAGCATGAATAACTCAGACAGTAACTGCAGCTAGTGAGAGGAGTGAAAATAGAACAAGTGTGTGGGAATGAGGTGGGGAAGTGACCTATGCTGGTCTCTGGGAGGGGGGGGCTTCTGAGTGGCACCTGGAGGTGGAGGAGGGCTGGCCAGCCTCATACTTCTGAAGGTAGTGCAAAGGCAAACTGGTGACAAGTTGGAGAAACACGGAGGGGTCAGAGTGGCTGGAGTACATGGGGGCAGAGCGTCAAAGCGGCTGTGGGTCCCCTCCTTCGGGGAGCCTTCTCAGATTCCCGCGCAATTTCCACACTCCCCCAGCTTCTTCCACACGGTCCGAGTCCCACCGGTCCCTCTCAGGCCACCTTCCTGTCCGGACTGCCAGTGCGGGGAGGGGAGGGCCCGCGTGGATTCTTTCCTCCGCACCCTGGTGGCGCCCGGCCGGGCGCTGGGCACCCCGTGGGCACTCGGTAAATATTTGTAGAGCGCTCAAGAAGGAATGAATGAACCCATTGGGCGCAGCTGGGGGGAGGGCGGGGCCGAGGGCAGGTGGGAGGCCGCGGGCGCGGGAGGGGCCCCTGGAAGCCCGTCCTCCTCCTCCTCCCAGGCCCCAGCGCGTACCGCTCTGGGCTCCCGAGGCGGCCTTTCGTGCGACCAAGGGCACGCAGGCCCTGGAAAGAGACCGGGGGCCCCTGCTCTCGACGCTGGAGTTCGAAAAAGGGTAGTTCGCCGCCGCCCGAGGGCCAGAGCGCGAGAGGAGCGGGAAAAGGAGCGCTCGCCTGCGCGCCGCCCGCCGCCTCCCCGCCTCGCCAGCCGCCCCGCCGCCTCGCTCTGCGCTCCTAGGGTTGCTGGCTGCTCCTCCCACCCGCGTCCTCCTCCTTGCTCGCTCGGTCGCTCGCTCGAGCTGGTTTCTTAGCCCTGCGGTGCGTCCGGGCGATTACGGGGCGAGGGGCCCCGGGGCCAGCGCCGAGCCGGGGGTGGGCGTCCGGGCAGAGAGCAGCGGGCCGGGGAGA